ATTTATTATTATTTTATGGTTATATTGTTCAACAACCACTGATAACTTTTCGATCGCATATATTCAACGAAAATTACCAGTTATTGTTATAAATCATTTACATAATGTTGCCAAGTTATGTATCTTTCAGATTTAGATCTACTAAGCTCTTTACGACATTATTATAAACAAAAAAAATCTTGAAAGATAGAAATTGGAACGGATATTTTAATTTTTTTTATTACAGAAAACATCCACAAATACTTAAAAAAATCTGACAAACATTTTTTCATCAATTGAATTTTAAGAATGAAAAAATTTTTTAATCGAAACGACGTTGACAATTATTTTCTCATTTATTAAAATGTTTTCACGATCAAACATTACATCAAAATTTTTCTCAATCACAGTTATATTTTAATTGCCTTATTTTTGAGCACTTACTTTTTCACCGAAAATGAAAAAAGCTGTGAATGAAAATTTTTAAAGTTGAGAAAAATAAAAAGCACAGGTATAATGTAACAATCGCTAATACGCAAATTACAAGAAAGGCCACAGGTACTATCAAAAGTAAAACGTCTATGAGGAAGTACTGGAAAATGTTTAGTTGAGAACCGGCAACGTTAAAGTTGTCAAATGGGCCATATTTTATAGCAAATTCAGTGTATCGTATGAGCCGTTCCCGAGCAGATACCGGCTTATACCTTATCATCTTTTTTAATTTTTGCGCACTTTTCCGATAACTGAAAGAAGACACAAATATGAATGAAAAATTTAGAATTATTATTGGAATATTAAGAAGAGAGAAGACTTTCTGTCAAGATGAAAGCTTGAGCTAAAAGGACAGTTATTTACCTTTCTTCATATATGATAATTTTCAGTGCAGAGGATAAGCCAATTACTGTAAGATTTTCCTTATTCAAGATGAGTGCTACATTCCTACTCTCGGCTGTTCTGGAATTTCTGAACTGATCAGCGAAAAATGGCATACAAATGAGTGGTACTCCGGCACTGATACTTTCCATGAGACTGTTTTGACCGCAATGAGATACAAAAGCCAAAAGTTTATGGTGATCTGTAACTTTTTTCATGAAATAGTGATTGAGTTAATGAAAAGAAGATAATGATTTCTGCAATCAAAAAAAAAATCAGAAAGTTTGATAAATGAGGAAAACTCACTGAGAAGATCGTTCTGTGGTATCCATTTCTTTCTAATGACGTTAGGAAGATGTACATCTTCCACTCTTTCTTCATCTTCGTATTTCCATATGAAAGTAATCTAAAGAAGATTTCATATTTCATTCAACAATTAATACTATTTAATAATGCATCATTTACATTCTGATGCCATCTTAAGAATATTTAAAATAAACTTAATTGAACAATCTAAGGTGCTATTATTGAAATGAGTGCTTCAGATTTAAGTTAAATGAAGAGTACCTCAGGTAATTGTTGGAATGCATCTTCGAATATCTTTTTTTCATTGCTGCTCATGTATTTGCTTTTTATCATCGTTCCGAATGATACTAAAATGACGCCACGCTCAGAATTGTCCAGAAGTTGTTGGTAATCCTGGATGATACGGTATAATCAGATGATTCATAGGATTCACATGATTCATTTTACAAATATATGCATGTGTCACATACATCAGTAAGCGGTGAAGCTTCCGGAATAGCTATGCCACCAATAAATACAATTTTACGACTGATCAAACGAGAAAATTCCAACAATTCATCGGTGTTGACAAAAACTACCGAGCTTTCATTCATTGTTTCCTCAACAATTTCACAATACTGTTCATTCCATCTTTCGTTTTTCATGAGAATTTAATTTTAAAAATCAATGATCTTTCGTAAAATTTAAGTGCAATATTTTTTTTGCTATTTGCAGTACTATACAAAACGTCAACATTTTAACCAGCAAGTGAAATCTAACAAAAGAATGGAGAAAACGCGTGTCAAGAAATATTCTCGAAAACTTTAATCACATTATTGATAAGTTGGTGTACAGGGAGAAGAATATTTTGGAGGCTAATCTTTCTATGAATGTTTAAGAATGTTATAAAATCATATCAACTGTGTTTTTATCTGTTGTAGAAGGATAAAGCACATTATTTTCAATAACATACAATATAATCGAATTTATTGGGCAAATGATGCTGAAGACTTTGCGCCGCTGAATCCCAAATAAGTTTTGTGAGAACATAAGTTATTGTGTACATGATAACGTTTGTCAGTCTATCGAGATAATTCATTTTATCTGACTTAAAAGAGAAACCAGCTGAAATGAAAGATAAATTGATGGAAATGATGCCAAAAATTTAACCTTGAAGATCATATAGGTTTTCCTTAAAATTCAATTTAAAATTATGCAGCATTCTCGATGCACCGTACTGAATGACTGCCGAATGTTACATTTGGAGTAGTATCAGAAGGAGAAAATATAGAAGGACAAACCGGGCACATAACTCGGATTAGAGCTTACACCGAAGAGGTCGCTGCTCACTTCTAACAAATTAATTGCTCTTGTCGTAATATGATTTTTGAGACCGATCCTTTTGAAAATAGCATATCCGCAGAAATTAATCTGTTCTGTGATACCCAAATCGTACTGTTCTGATTGTAGCAATCCCATCAACTCATTATCTTCCAGATGCTCTTAACATTCATTTTCTTTTATCGAGAAGATTGGAATGATCGATAACTTGAAGCAATGAATTAATCTATCGAAATGATGAAAGTATGATAGTTTAAGGCTTACTTTTACATGTCATTCTCTGTGCATCGGCCAGTCGTTTATGCAACTACAAAATAAAATCACTGAAACAGGAAGAAACACAGGTACATGTGTTTGTGCAAGAATCTACCTGTCCATTTATGTCAAATGCATTATTTGTAAGGTACATCACTATCACTCATTTTGAAGCCTCTGCTAATAATTAAACTAAAAGACCCGATAGACTTGCAGAATACTGTCACCCTTCTTCTTCCACATGTTCTTCTGTGAACTTTTCTCGAAGTATTGATTGTTTGGAAATTTCTTCTCTATTATTTTTGCTAATTTGGAGCCATTATTAGACACATCTGGATTTAAATCCGGCACAAAAACAGTCTGCAAAATGTGCAAAAGCTTAGCCATTAGCAAAATTTTTAAATAAATTCGAGATCTGGAATTATTATTTATGGTTTTCATCTTTGATCCACAACTGGGTTTTAAAGTAATTTGACTGAAAATTAAAAGTACGTACTTAACATTTAACTTCTTGTAACAGCAAAATTTAAAGTTATCTTTAACAGAATTGTGGATTTCTTACAAAATTTCATGGAAGAACGTACTACATTGTGACCAGCTTCAACCAGAATATCTGCTATTTTTCCCATAAAATTAACATGGCTATGACCGAGACGTGGTGAGAATACCAATATTTTGTATGAAAAAGTAGATTCCAACAGTATTAGAAGTAAAATCGTATATAAATGCATCTTGAATTTAAATTTGTGAAAATACTAATTCCACAAAAATACAAAGAGAACAAATATCGAATGAACCGTTTGACAGATTATATTCCTCAAAGAAAGCCTAAATATAAAACCAGCCTAATTAATTCAATTAATTAATTAATTAATTGAATTAATTAAGCTCATTGTTAAAAAATTAAACGTTTCCTGACAAGATGGAATTTTCCTTCGCAATTATTACAGAAATTCCTTATCAAGAATGACTGTCAGGTCACTGTAATTAGCCAGTACTGAGTAACGAACTTTAATGAAATGAATGTATATCATAAATTATAGCAAAAATAGTTAAAATATTAAAATGCAAGAAGTAAGAAATAATTGGATTGTTGGCCATGAAGTAAAAGTGAAACATATCATTGTTGTATAGAAACAAGAAAGGCCAACAATACAAGAAACATATTGATAAAACATTTCAAGAAGGTAACTACAGTTTGAAAACCAACCCAAGTAGTAGTTGCTTAAATAAGAGATCTAATGAACGGCAGTGCCTAATTTTTAGAAAGTTAATTGGTATTTTATATTATCCGATTTGCAAAACTTCTGGGCAGTATAGTTCACTTAACTGAAGAGTTATTGACAAAAAACTGAAGAAAATTTTAAGGAAGAAGGTGATTTCAAGACCGGTTTTGAAGTGTTTCCGTTGAAATAGTTGTGCTATCATTTGCGCAATAGGTCACAAATATGGTAGCAACAGAGCTGTATTCATGTCATACTTTTCCTTTTTCTTTTTCTATCACCTTTCTCTCTGAGAATTATTTTGCTCCTGCAAATTATCACCGAGATAGACAGCTGCCTCGTAGCTTGTACACTTCTATGAATCTTTCCTTAATCTATGAATCAAACAACTTATTTGGCAAAAAAATAATATACTGAAAGATCCCATGTCTTCAAATAATTATTTGGACGATTTTTCAGCCAAAAGTAAAGAAAGAATTGCCAAATATTTGTTTACAGTTAGTAAAAAAAAAAAACTTGTACTTCCATTTCTCCTATGTAGGAGACGGTATATCTGAAAATTGAACAAAAACAGATGCACTTTCTAATTTTAATACTTGAAAATGGAAAGAAAAACGCACTTCTTTTGAAAATTTTTGAATTCTTAAGCACTTCAATCATTTGTTTACGCGTTGAAACTCATAAAATTATATTCGACATTTGATAGGAAAGGCCACTTTTGTATCAATAAAACAAATCTTCTGGTTCCAATAATCATTTGTTTTTTAATTGGCCTAAATCTCTTGCAGTTAATGAAATTTCTATTTCATAATTCCTGCAAAATAAAATTCAAAATTTTACTGATTCAAACTAAACTCAAACGGAAACTTGTCGCAAATCTGAACAAAACATTTGCGGCTCCCGGTGAAATTTTCAGGTTTCCGGTGCATTTGACAATTTATATTACTCAGTTACTACCCATATATTATAATTTCTGATAACTTGTCATTACATGACGTTAAACTTAATATTCTCGAAAAAGCACTACCTTCATTTCAACAAACTGAAAGAGAATAACACAAATAGAAATATGATACTTTTTAATACCTAATTTCAGTTCAGACTAAGGCTTCAAAATAGAATCTCATATTGTGTTAGGTAAAAGATAAAGGAAATATTCAACTATTACCAGCCTTTTTTTTCCTGAAGAAAGTTAACTTGATTCACTCAACACTTTTTAATTCCTATTAATAAAAAATACTCTAGAAAATGAGCGAAAAAAATTCAGGCTATTATTCATCTTATTAGAACTTCCGAAACATTACTAGTTTTTTTTTATTACCATTTCATACTTACTGCTCTGCAATCAGCATTAAGAACTTCCCGCTGGATTGTGCAACTCGTCCACTTTCAATTCTCGAGATTTTTTCTGTAACACTTAATAGCAGAAAACTTGACAGACATAGATGAAACGCAACAATCGTAATTTTTGATATTTTATTTTTGCTTTCAAAAAACATTAACTATAAAGATTTATATAATTAGAAGGTATAGAGTTAGTCGTAGAACATAGAGCTGACGAACATCTTCCATTCTTTGGTTAATGATTTACAAAGAGGAAAAGAAAAGATGAAATGGCATGACAACGATTTCTCAAATGTTTTATATCCTAAAAAACCTAGTCCGAAAACATTCAGAATTCCCATGAAAACAAGAAAAATATATTCCTAGTATTGGAAAGAAAAAATATATTTTCTCCATTCTGTTATACAAACAAAACATATTAATTTTTAGTTTCCAGCAACAGTCACACAGCTCATCATATAAAAAGGAAAAAGCTATTTATTAGAAAAGGAATATATAACCAACAATCATAATATATGACCATCGAAACATAATCGACAAGCCTGCAGAGTAAATTACGATTACTTTATCGAATTACTGCGGAGGCTGCGTACCATTTTCATGCGATTCATTCCTATCGCTTTCATTGCTAGGACCTCCTAGAAAACAATTTTGCTGATAATTTGGATATTAAAAACAGTACATGCATTTTACTAAAAGAAGAAACTTTGTCTAAGTTTGCTGCTGAGCTGAAGGAAAATTAGACTAACAGCTGGTAGCAGTCCATTTATTAAATAAGTGTAAATGGCAAAATGTAAAACTACCTTGGCCCTGGAACTGCTGCCTCAGCTGTTCAACCAAATCTGGATTAGCACTCTGCATCTGTTGAGCTAACTGAAAGTGAACAAAATGACGAACATATTGATCACAACCCAGTGTTCCCACAACGAAAATTATATCCCAGAACCGATCAGAAAAGCCTATTTAGTTTAGTTAAATCTTGAAACCACTAATCTGTTTTCACTTCATATAAACGAAAACAACCTGTTGGCCGGCCTCAATAAGATTAGAAACACCAGCATTTGATCCACTGCCGAGAATACCACTCATCATTTGAGACATCATGTTCTGGATGTTCGGATCAGACATCAACTGTCTGGCCATATTCATCATCGCTGGATTATTCAGCAATGCAGTCATGTCAGGCATCTGGGAACCAAATAACTGAAATAAAAAAAAGGACTGAGAGATTTGCTATCTATGAATCAAACATCTGGAAAAGAACGACAGAACCTACCCCAGGATTTTGTCCTTGTCTGAATGATTCTTCCAATTTTTTCAGTTCATCTTCAGCAATTTTCAGATTGTTTTTGTAGCTTTCTTGTTCGGGATCCAGCTCCAGTGCTTTTTTATATGCTTCTACAGCTTGCTCATAACGATTCTGGCAAGATAGTGCCAACCTAAAAAAATTATGCGAAGTTCCATTTATCCAATTTCAGATTGTACCGAAGGAACAACATTAAATTTTACCCCATTCGTCCGTAAGCTTTACTATATTTTGGATCCAAAGCCAGTGCAGTACGACAATCTTGTACTGCCATATCATATTGCTCTAGCCGACAGTAAGCTGCTGCTCTGAAATATGTGATGAACTTTTTAAAGGATAAACATGCTTTAATTACGAAGTTTACAGAAGACTTTGAGAGCTGTTAATCTATAACATTTTTTCTAAAATCTAAAACACAAAGCATGCCCTGAAGTTCCAATGTTTTTTTCCTAAAACATTTATAAAGTTTCTAATAATTATGCCAGCTTCAATCAGATAATTAATAAATCATATATTCCCATCTATTTAAAAACAAGTAAATCACAGCATTATTCCTAAATTACCGATTGCAAAAGTAAGCCGGATCTTTGTTCAGCTTAATGGCTTCATTATACTTTAACACAGCATCTTCAAATTGCGATGATTTCATCAGTGCATTTCCCTCTTCTTTTAAACTATTCGCTAATTTAATTTCTTCTGCAGTTGGTTTTGGGAAATTACCAATTCCCTGAAAATTAATATCACATTTTTTGTTGAAAGTTTTATGTCTGATTACAAAAAGCCAATTCATATCACTTGTTTTAAAACATGATTGCATTCAAAGAATAGCACGTAGTTGAAGATCAATTATGCTGAATTATAGAAAGTTCAATGATTCCATCTTTTTACATCATAATTAGTTGATTTAAAAATAAGGCATACAGTGGGAAGACCCTCGGCTGCAACGAAGATATCCAAAAGAGGTTTCGATGGTTGAAACAAGTAACTGGAATCGGTTATATCAAATGCTGTTTCAAGACATTGAATAGCTACTGAAAAATTTTTTCCTATAAAATTAATTGGACAGCCGTGCATAACCATTAACTCTCAAAGCTAGCAATAACTTGTGAGACATATTGGCTTAATGACAGTTAAGAAATAGGCTATAATGGAACAACTGTCATCATATTACTTCAAGATTACAGAAATGAGATTTTCTAATAAACACAACGGTCCTAGAACTTATGTGTTAGCATTCTAGCATGATCAAAGTAGTCAATGGCTCTGCAATGGACTTTGCTGCAGAGCCATCATATGTTTTGATGATGCTAACAGTTGTATCATTAAAGATAAATTATAATTAAGTGCAACAATAATAACCTTCAATCCCTTCGACCTGATCAGTTGTACACTGTTCACGTGAAATACGCTGACGCAAGAACTGGATGAATGAAACAACAAGATTCTTTTCGTCACTGATATCTTGCTTTTTTTGACTCGCTTCCGCATTAGTCGATGCAGCATTAGTTGACTCATTCATTCTTTTAGTTTTCTTATATCACACTTTATAATTCCCCAAATCTGAAAACACAATATACAATATATGCCTCATTTTTGAGGATCAGAAACAATGCCCTGCTTCTAAAGTTTAGAGAGTATAAACGTAATGCTTCGAACATTTCTGCTGATTTTTTCTTTTTGCTGTTTCTTTAAAAGAAACATCAGTTTAGTAAAATTCTCTAAAAAATGTTGCAGATCATATTTGCATCAATTCACACTGGAAAAAAATCAAAAGAGAAAAGAAATGAAAAAGACTACACTTAACAACACATCCATCAACAATAATATTACACACAATGCTTCATCCAATCCAAAAACTACACGTAGGCACACGTAATGTTCACGCACAGCTACCACACTCAACCCCTCTCACCCAATTCTCAGGAAACTTAGCGAATGGGAATGCTAACACTGAATGCAACTGGTACATCCCACTGATGTGCGTCCCCGCGAATTCCCAAATCCTGTGATTTGGGAATTCGCATGGACGTAAGATAACACCTGGAAGGAGTACTTTCCAGGACTAGAGGAGTGCTACCTCTAAAGTGAGATCGGTCCTTGTTCATTCAATAATGAGATACTTACTGAGCCAATTTATTGCGCTCATTATTCTCGTTTTTTCTAACAAGCCAAAAAGTTGGCTTTATTTTTTTTACTCAAATTCTTTTAAATGGAAGAAACTGCAATTGCAACAGACAAAAAAATCATCTGTATTGCATGTGTAGCTGTACTTTGTAGATTTATCAGAAATTTATCTATCTGTATAGATTTCCTATGTAAAATATCTATTATTTATCACATTGAAAAGATGAACTCGAAATGCAGAAAACTACTCAGTCATAACATGAAGCTGCGATTTTTGATCTAATTTGGAGATATTGTTTGCAGGTTCAAAATGGACATCATATTGGAAATTCCTTGCAGTTCGAAAGTTTAACTACATAACAGGAAAATGAATTGGAAATACTGTCATTTATAGGAATTCTCCCAGCAACTTAGGAGATTAATTATGCACGTCCTACAACTCACAATGATGAGAATTTATGTGCTTCGCTTTAAACCTGTTTTCATCTTCTGTAGCGACAATGTCTAAAAGATCCAGATAATTTTTATAATCATTCTAATACCTGTGAATAATTAATATAATTTACATTTACTAATGTACATCAAACGAAAAGACATTGAGGTTAATTGCTGCATAAATCATAAATAACAAAAAATTTGCAGAAATACACATACATTACATTCACAACAAAATTATCACATCACAAAATTACTAATGCGTCAAATTTAATCTACTGAGGGGTATTGAATACTATCAGGTTAACCGACTTTTCAGTTTTCTCGATTGAAACACTCTCTAATTTTTGAAATTAAAGTGCTACAGTGATGATGTTGACTGAATTTAATTAACTCACTCGGTTTTTGTACTAATATTTTATGCAGATTTGTTCGATTTGTCAAATGCTTCATTATAATGTTTAACTGAACGGTTGGATTCTTACCATTCCAGCTTCATTGCCAACTTATCTTCTTGAGGATAAATACAGAACAAATAATGAAGTGTTGACATTGCGCTGTCATTCAACAGCTACATTCAAGCTACAGTTACATATAAAAATCTCTTTGTCTGGAGATTTCTTATAAAACTTGATTTATCAGAGGAATAAAATATGCAACTGAATTTCTTATTTCTGTATTTGTTTCTAAGTTTAGAACCTTCGAATTTAAGACTTTCTATGAAGACTTTTAAATATTAAAAGACAAAAGATTCAGGTAATTTCAGTTCGAAAATATTTTTCGGTTTATTGTAATTTCCGCATTCATTCATTCGACTCGCATCGTCATTTCGCTGAAGCAATCGTTTTACAGTTCGCGATAAGTCAATTTCTTCACGTTCTTGATTCATGTCTTCTACAAGTTTATTGAAGTCCTGAGTACGAAACTTATCCAGAATTCTTCGTGTTCGATTCTGTAAAAGAACCATATAAAAATTACTGGTCAGATTCACTACTGCTGGTTCATATGTTTTCATCAACGGTATCAATATTTTCATTTGCTTTAATCAGTAAGACTTAGTTGTTACAAAGTTACTAATACCTTTTATAGTACTGAGTATGCGTCCGATTTTTTTCCATTATTTTTACATTATAAATGTTAAGTTTCAAGAAAGAAGAAAATCACAAAACCTAGAAAGGATGCACATATAAGTGATATATACCTGTTCCCTTTTTTCTTCTTCACTCGGATCAGTTAACATATTCGCCTTTTTACGCAGTTCATTAACAGTCGTTGGAGGAATATCCGATTCTGCAGTAATAACATTAGGTAATTAATTTCAGTGATGAAACGAAAACAGGTGAACAATAAAAAACCAAGATTTTGAGCAAGTTTTTATTATAGTTACTTCAAATTTATAGATGAAAGCGCACTAGAAACAGGAAATTAATTGTTTCATATCACTTTTATCAAATTTTGTTAATCGAAAAACAATATCTTCCTTTGAAAGTGGAAATTCTTACTTTCTCGTGTTGATGAAAAGAACGTATTTTTACGAGAAGTTTGGACAGATTCAGATGAACTCCAATCAATGCTTATATCAATCGAGACTGTATTTTCATCAATTCCACTAGTATCTGTTCCGTCAATATTATTTATTTTTTCAGCTTCCCTGAATGGCCAGTCCCTATCTATTACCATATCACCAGATGCGGATGATGCTACTGCTGCATCCTTCGAAACGAATGCTACTGTTAGATTCTTCACTTCTTTACCAGTAGCCTAAAATAATGCGAGCAGGAAAAAGTCAGCAATAATACAGACAGCTCTAAAGTATATTTTCAAAATTTTAATTATCCGAAGTCACATAAAAATAAGGAACTAACATGTCTATAACAGAAAAACAAAAAAGGGTGAAAAATAATTGTAACAATTCAAATATTCATTTTCTACTTTTAGCATTTCGCTGACATCATCGATATCGAAAAGAATTGTTGCATCTTCTTCAAGACAAAGTGCCGCTTGTTCTTCATCGTCATCACATGCAAGCGGCGCCTTTTTGGAACTCATTTTTTCAGATTGTACTTCCGACAAAAGGTTCAGTAACGGATGAGCTCGTAATGCTCGCTGTTTCACAATCTAAACCAAGTGATTTCTTCTATTACTTTTTTTTTTACTTTAAATCTAATATTTTGAAGCGAAAATGTGAAATTATAATTGTCTCCAAAATTTACCTACAAAACATTTTGCTCCTAAGTTTAAGATATGCAGAAAGTTTCATCGATTCCAACTAATATTCTTAACAAGATTCTTGCGCACCCCGTTCTCACTATGGCTGAGGCATATGCGAAATACCTCCTTAGCAATTTAGAAAGTATACGAAAACCACACAAATTCAATAGACATAAAACATCTTTAATCCAAGAAATATTTTTATCTGAATTTTTTCACTAATTCATAAATTTCCCAGACCGAAAATTGCTTTATGCAAATACCGATTATAAGCTGAAGTTTTCCAGAGATTTTGATGCAAATTCCTCAAGGTATAAATTACCTGCTGAACATGCTGACAAAGAGATGGTATAGCCATCAGCTGACTGCTGAAATTAAGATATTTAGCCACCAAATTATGAATAGCTATACGTTTCGCACCACTAAAACGAAATGACGATTCCAGTGCCATTGATTGCAATGCAAAAGACAACCGGAATAACTGTATCAACATCTAAAATGCTAATATATATCATTTCTCGATCATATTTGAAATAATACTGTGTTTAATCTATTTAACACGGACTTTTCTATCATTCGAAGTTTCTTTGAAGTAACAGATGCAATTTTCTCATGTGTATTTTGTTTTTAACCAAGAAATTATAAAAAGAAACACTCTAGTCAAGCAACTAAATTGGTGAAATTTAAACAGTAAACTAAGAAAATAATGAGTGAACTTACTTCATCAAAACCAACTTCAATGCACAGTAAAGCCATTGTGCAAAGGATTGCATCCATATGCTCATTTTGCGTCTTATCTTCAGGCACCATCCAAACACATCTGTAAGCTTCCCTGTCGTAAAAAAATACAAAAGTCTGATAATACAGAAATAAAAGTATTTTCGAATTTCTGTTATACTAAACTATACATACAAACTTCCAGGCAGGAAATAAAATTAAACGAATCGGATAATATTTAAGACCTATTAACACAGTCTGCATATATACTTACCTATGAAGAGCATTAAGCAAATGTGGTGCGTAATTTCGCATGATCATTTCATCAGACCGACTACATTTCTCGAAGGTTAATTGCAAATCAGTAACATCGTTGACATAAGGTAAGTGCCGTAATACCGACAAATTATCATGTCTGTAAGTTATCATGACTTCTGTCCTTTTCCAAGATAAGCTGATGATGAATTTAAAAATACAAAAAAATTGACACAAAATGTAAATTCTTTTCACATATTGTAAATAATGCAATTCTACTACAAAAGTTTGATAATACAAAAATAAAAGCATGAAAATTTTCGAACTTCGTATTTTGCATTCAATATTTGCAGGGCATGAAAAGATTATATTAGAATTCGAAGTGAAATCAACCATTAAAATAATACATAGAGTAAGTAAACATTAAAAATAAAATGTAAACCTGTCAAGCAAGGTATGGAAAATGCACTGTGTATCCAAACGAACGATAGGATCATTAGTTAAAGCTAATCGCAACAGTGTATTTGGGAAATTATTACTAAATATTGTTGACATAAAACCTGTTCGATATTTTGTTGCCACCTAAAAATTAGATTTTTATAAATAATATTAAATTTTAAAGTAGCATAAATTATTGGGATAATTCGAAAGTATAAAAGTTTGAAGATAATTCCGAAGCGATGCAAAATGAAACAATGAAATGAAAACTAATTTCGATATTTGAAACTGAAAAACATACCTTCAAGAGTGTTTTTACAAGTATGTGCTGTAGAAAAA